AATCCAGACGAACTTGCAAGCAATGACGGACGGGCAGATTAAGTATTGACATCAGTTACTGAGGCATAAGCAGACCCCAAGCCGGGACGAAACAGGGGGAAAAACGAGCAAAGAAACGAAACGGTGTCATAATAAACAGATGCGAGTCACGTTACTCATGAGTAGTCAGGAAACAAGGAAAGTTACCGCTGGTCACCGTTGATTCGCAGGCGGAATCAACAGTCATTATTCGAAGAAATATAACTTGAAGCAGATAGAAATTCCGTTTGTACAACCCACCTCCAGACAATGAGCAAATAAGTGTGTGGTGGATGTGTTTCTTTCAGTTCATTCTATTGGTGTAACCATGTGCACTACTGAGGAAACATATGAGTAGCATCTCGACAACTCCGTCCCTACATGTGACGGAATGTAAATTTGGCAAATATCGAACTTCTCTACAACGTTTGCTTAAATGTCAAGTGTTCAAACGCCCAGGATAGCTCAAGAGAAGCCTGATATTTTTCATCAGTGGCATGAACCTTTTCACCGTTGGCTTTTGTGCACGCATTGGAGATTTTCGCGGGGTCCTCTATTACCAAAATAGGAACCATCTGTTTGTTGTGCAATAGAGCACTTTGGGACCCACAGTATGACCTTCAAAGCTTGAACATGTCATTCCTGAGTGAGTGGAATTCACGCCAGATTGCCTGACACAGCCAGCAGGTTTAGATAGGTGAGATGGAGCAGGGAGTACGGTTTGTTGCGCTCACAGCCAGCCAGCAGGTTTAGATAGGTGAGATGGAGCAGGGAGTACGGTTTGTTGAGACCGCTCACAGCCAAATTCTGCTCCCTAATTGTCGAGTTCTTCGGCTATTGTGGCATTTCACTCAGCTCCGAATAAAATGGTTGGCTCGTGGATCATGCAGTCCACGATCCGGATAGGGCAAGCGTAGCTGGCAGCGCACGTGACTTTTAATGCATCAGTTCAATCCACGTTTGTAATCAGGTGACCATGGATACCTTTGTATTTTGCATGTGATTTAGAGTGACAGAATGAGGGAGGACCACCAATTTTAGGGCCTCCACGAAGCCATAATTTGGAGGATCTCATAGCCACGCCCCCTCAACAAGCCGTCGTTGCCCATATGCACAAACCGTAGCACGCGGAGCCTTACCACAGTGGGAGAAAAATCCACGCTCATCAATTATACGGACTGTGTTCCAACTGACTTTTTATTTATCCACTTCATTACCTGTTCTTGTCTATTTAGGCACGGCATTTTGACTTTTTTCCTTCAAGTTTTACATCGTACAGTGCAGAAAACAAGGTCGGTACCGCACAACCTGAATGACGCTAACAAGTTGTTTGAATTAAATGACAAGTCTGACGTGGCCTGATCTGGATCATTTGGCGCCATGTTGTTGTTTGTCGGTAGTCAGCATGATGAGTTGACGGGATAATAAATGGAAGAGGATGGTGATGAGATTTCATGGAAGTTTTTTGTTTTGTCTTTGGCACAAAGTGGTTGGACTGGGTGATTTTCCAATGACATTTACAAATATTTGATTCCTGGGAGTTAATTCTGTTACTACAGGCACTGAAGGTAAACCTGAATGATTTAAAATATGGTGCGTGACGCAGAATAGTGTTCTATCGGGA